GACCAAGAGGCAGTTGTTTGACCAGAACATGGGAACACTGGTTTAAAATTAAGAAAGGTGTGTAACAGGGTTGTATTCTTTCACCGTAATTATTCAACCTGTATGCTGAGCAACTAATCCGAAAAGCTGGGTTATATGAAGAAAAACATGGCATCAGGATTGGAGGAAAACTCATTAACAACCTGCAATATGCAGATGATACAGCCTTGCTTGCTGAAAGTGAAGAAGACTTAAAATATTTACTGATGAAGATCAAAGAGCACAGCCTTAGGTATGGATTGCATCTCAATGTCAAGAAAACAAAAATCTTCACCACTGGACCAATAAACAACATATCTTATCAATGGAGAAAAATTGAAGTTGTCAAGGACTTCATTCTTTTTGGATCAACTATTAGCACTCATGGAAGCAGCAGTTAAGAAATCAAACGATGTATTTATTGCATTAGGCAAATCTGGTGCACAAGACCTTTTTAAAGTGTTGAATAGCAAAAGCTCAGCTTGAAGACTAAGGTGTGCCTACCCAAGCAATGGTATTTTCAATAACCTCATATGCATGCAAAAGCAGGACAGTGACTAAGGAAGACCGTAGAAGAATTGATGCTTTTGAGTTATGGTTTTGGAGGAGAATATTGAAAGTGCCGTAGGCTGCCAAAAGAACTATCAGATCTTTATTGGAAGAAGTGTAGCCAGAGTGTTCCTTGGAGGCCAGGATGGCCATACTTTGGACATACTGTTTGGAGGGACCAGTTGCTGGAGAAGGATATCATGTTTGGTAGGGTGGAGGGTCAGAGAAAAAGAGGAAGACCTCCCAGTGAGATGGATTGACAAAGTGGCACCATCAGTGGGCTCAAGCGTGGCAACAATAGTGAGGTTGGCCCATGATTGGGCAGTGTTAGTTGTTCTGCTGTGTATAAGGTTGCTATGAGTTGGTACCGACTTGTTGGCACCTAACAACAACAACAATGGAGAGATTTTAAAAGAGCAGACTGAAAATCACCTTTTTATGGATTTCAAGCAAACACATGATGGATAACTCCGTACATAACTGATTCAGATCTTTTTTATTCCTTAATGCTAGTTTCTTAGGAATAGCGTGGCGCTTCAGGATCCGAACTCAACTGCAAAGTCTGCTTGAACCATGAGGTTGGAAGTTCAAACTCACCAGCTGCTCCTAGGAAACCTTTTATAGGGAATCAACTCAACGGCACTTAGCAATAACATTTAGTTTCTAAAGGGTTCTTTTATGAGTGCATTTGTTCACAAGTCAGCAGAACCACACGTCTGTTTCCATCTACATAAAGTTATGTTTCATTAAATGCTGACAGATTCTTTTCAACTTGCTCGACAACAGTATACAAATACATTTGGTTTTTTTCTTATTTTAAAGCATAATATCACTTCAGAATCTAGTTTCATTTGCGTATAGCTCATAAGCCTGAATGACCCCAAAACCCATGGAACCAGTATATTAGCAGAAATTACCATGCTTAGCCTTACATATTCTTAGGGTGAGGACAGTACTGTAAAAACATTTCAGAATCATCCGGGCATGATGTTTTTAAGTGCCATGGAGTCAAGTCCAACTCGTAGAGACTCTGTATACAGTTTCCAAGAAGTGGCTGGTGGGTTTGAACCACTGATCTTTCAGTTTGCAGTCCATTAACCTACACCATGAGTTGAGATTGATTCCTTTTATTCATTCTAGGAAATTTTATTGAGTTCCTGCTACAAAGGGGCTTCGAAATGTCTGTGGAATATTCCATTATCTTTTTAATTCCATTTTTCTACAAGCATTTTGAAGCATCCAGTTATGTCAGACACTATTTTAATCACTATGGATTCAATATAAATAAAATAATGCCCACCCTCAGCCTACTCAGAGGCAACAGACAATAGTGATATGTGTAGTATATTAAATGGTAGCAAGTGCTATGGAGAAAAATAAAGCAAGGAATAAGAGATAGAATATGTGTGAGGGTTTCATTTTAAATAGAGTCCTCACTGAGGTGACAAGCAAGTACACACCTGAAGGAAAGCAAGCCACTATCTGGATATTTGGGGAGTCTTTTCAACAGTGGAAATAACAGCAAGTGCAAAGCCTCTGAAATGTGAGTCTGCCTGATCCACTCTGGATAGCTAATGCCAGAGCTAATGCCAGAGCAAGGGGGGTCTGCAGGCGACTGTAAGCACTTTGGCTCTTACTTGTGAGATGAATGGGTAACTGTTGGAAGAATTTAATCAAAGGAGTGACCTCTCATATGGCTTAATGACAGCATTCTAGCTACGATAATGGAGAATAAGCTGAAGGAGAAAAGAAATTGTAAAGAGCATCTGAAAGCTATCCAGGGTATGGCAGTGCAGGTTATGGGGAGGATTGGCATTTTAGATAAAGCTAATAGAATTATCTGATGGATTGGATGTGCTGTTAAGTGCCATTGAGTCAGTTCCAATGGACAGCAACCCTGTATATTGGGTTTCCAAGGAGTGGCTGGTGGGTTTGAACTGCTGACCTTGAGGTCAAGTGCTTAAGGAGTTGAAATTAAGAGTCAGAATCTCCTCTTCTTTTTTTGGTGTGAACAACTGAAAGGATTAGGCTGCCATTAAGTGAGATGGAGAGAAATGAGGGAATTATTACTGATTGGGAGGAAGGATTAAGGGGTTCAGTTTGGACACACAGTATGAGATGGGTTTTTGTGGTTCAAGTGGTGATGTCAGGTGGGCATTTCAGAAATCCGGAATTCAGAAGAGATCCAGGCTGGATATATATTGAGAGTCACCAGGAGGGATATTCATTAAGTCATGAGACTAGACAACTTGGCCAGGACAGTGTTTTTAAATAAGATGTCTAAGGAATGAACCTTGAAGCACTCCACTATTGAGAGGTTTTTACAGAGACTGTAAAATGTGAGGCCATTCATAAAGAAGGAAAACCCAGGGAGAGACTAATCCTGGTAACTAGTGAAGAAAGTTTTTCAAGGAGAGGGAATAATGGACCTTTTCAGATGCAGATTGAGATTTGACCACTGGATTTGGTTGGCCCTGTGGTGATGATCCCTGAGTGAGAGCATTTAGTGAATAGAATAGGGTGTAGAAAAGGGTGAATGGGAGAAGAGAACCCAGTTCCTACCTCTGAGATTGGTCCACACTAATAAGAGGTGAGGGGCTGTGAGTTGATGCCCTGGACTGCAAGGTTGGTTTGAACCACAGGGTCAACAGTTCAGGCTCACCAGCCACTTCTTGGAAACTCTATACAGGGTCATTGTGAGTCAGTCAGCTCTAGGGCACTCAACAACAATAAGAATAGGTACAAAAAGAGATGCCAGGTGAGGTTGTTGTTGTTGTTGTTGTCAGGTGCCATCGAGTCGGAACCGACTCATAGCGACCCCATGCACAGCAGAACGAAACAATGTCCGATCCTGGGCCAACCTCACTACCGCTGCCACACCCGAGTCCATCAATGATGCCACCTGGCTGATCCATCTCGTTGGGGGTCTTCCTCTTTTTCTCTGACCTTCCACCCTACCCAGCATGACATCCTCCTCCAGCGATTGTTTCCTCCGGACAATATGTCCAAAGTAGGAGAGACGAAGTTTAGCCATCCTGGCCTCCAAGGAGCACTCTGGCTGCACTTCCTCCAAAACAGATTTATTGGTTCTTTTGGCAGTCCATGGCACTTTCAGTATTCTCCTCCAACACCACAACTCAAAGGCATCAATTCTTCTACGATCCTCCCTATTCACTGTCCAGCTTTCGCATCCATATGAGGCTATTGAAAACACAATGGCCTGGGTCAGGCGCACCCTAGTCCTCAAGCTGACATCTCTACTCTTCAACACTTTAAAAAGTTCCTGTGCAGCAGTGAGGTTGTAGAGTTTGAATAAATAGCAACAGTGAGCATAAAGGCTGAGTGTCTTTTGAATGTAAAACTGACCTATTACTTTAAGCAAGAACAACAAAACTATAATTTTGAAGAGAAACTTAAGAGTGGACAGAGAGGATAGACTGAAAACTCGAGAGTTGCGACATCAAGGAACCAAGGACAAAGGGGAGTGTTGCACGGAATGAGACTAGTTCTGTTCTGGAGTTGTTTTCCTTTTCTGTTTGCTTTTGTATCCTTTTTATTCCAGGAATACGTAAAGTTGGTAGCTCCCTAAAAGCGATTAGGCTGTGATTCTTAGAAGAAATTATTAAGGCAAAAGACCTCTATCATGAAATGTGTTTGTCACATTTGCTCCAGTGTTCACTGGAACAGAATTATGGAAATTTGGCATTAGTCAAAATGTTGAATGTTTGTTTCTGAGGTTTCTTTGATTCTCTTTTTTTAGGACAAAATTCTGCCCAACTTGTCTTGTATTTTTGCTTTACTGCTAGCTGACAGGAACTGGCTGGTAGAACAGCATACCTTGGAGGCATTTACTCAGTTTGCTGAGGTAAGTTTTTAGACTCAGGATTACAAAAACATTTATTGAGCTATTTTACTTGTAGAATTTTTTAGGTAGGATTATTATCCCCTCAAGTCGTTTTCAACTGATTGCGACTCTGCGTCCTAGGGCTTTCTAGACTGTACTATTTATGAGACCAGACCCTCCAGGCCTTTTTCCAACAGAGTTGCTGGGGGCGTTCAAACCAGTCTTTTTATGTTAGCAGCCATTTGTACCACCTGGCCTCTCTGTAGGGAACATATAAACGGATTATGGTTTACTGGAAATGAAAAATAAATGACTTTCCTAAGGCCCTCTGGTTAGCAAGGACTTCAGTGGGCATTCAAAGCAGGTCTGGTCTGTTAATTCAGGCTGTCTTCCAGATAGCATTTCTAGGTTGAACCTGTCATTTAGCCTGTTAATTTGGTTCTATAGAGAAGGTAAGCCCTGGATGCCCCTTCAGTTTTACTAATTTATATGCAGTCATGTCCATGAGAAGTCTAGAAGAATTTGTATGACTAAAAGTAATTAAAACTCACACTCTATGTATTTATATAAAAGTTAATTATGCATTCTCCTAAAGTACCCTGAAAAACTATGAGCTCTCTTGATCATCTGGCACTAACTGCATTCTTTTTTATTACTAAACTCTTAAACTCATGTATCAAAATTGGTCTTGTTTCTCAATCTTATAACAGGGAACAAATCATGAAGAGATAGTTCCACAGTGCCTCCATTCAGAAGAAACTAAGAACAAAGTTGTATCTTTTCTGGAAAAGGTATTTATTTAGAATCAAAATAGTGTCACATGTTTTGTTCTTTAGGTAAAAGTTTTTACTGTTGAGACCATGTAAGTTGCAGACATAAAACACTGGAAACTACTTGGCCTGAAGACTATGGCACTGGCAATCTAAGCAGTGAGAGATTGCTAATTTGGAAAGTCATTGAGCAGCTCCAAACTGTTACAACTCCTGATTATACAAATACAGTAGTAGGTCTGAGAAGATTACCTATTGATACTGTTTCAGATACCATTTGTTATGACCCTGTGTGTGTAGGGTTTCCAAGGAGAGGCTGGTGAGTGTGACCTGCTCATCTAGTGGCTCAAACTGACCTTGAGGTTGAGTTCTTATCCTATGCAGCCACACCAGGACTCCAGATAAGCATGGCTTTTTTATACTGATTAAAACTAAATTCTATTTTTCTAAGACCATGATTTTTTAAAAACTTTTTATTGTGAATTGAGTGAAGGTTTACAGTGCAGATCAGTTTTACATTCCACAAATCATATACTTTGTTTCATCTCACTTGCAGTCCCCTGAATGGAATGTAACATCACTTTTCCTAGTTCCTGTGTTTAATCCATTCAGCCTTCTTTCCCCCGCCTTGCTGAAGTTAGTCCTTCAGTAAATGATGCCTTTTGACCTTGAATGGCTGGCCATTCTGTGTTGAACAGTGTTGTGCTCGCTCCCCACCCCCTTTATATTTACCTGTTTCTTGGCTAAAATATTATCTATTGACTTGGCTGCAAATGAAGCCTACAGGGTGAGTTCAGTTCCAGATTTGAAGGGAGACCAAGGGCCATAGTCTCCGGCTTACTAGTAAGAAACTGATGAAACACTTTAGTCTGTTCCACATTTTCTATTTAGGACCTTCTAATGACTTTTTACTATAGCGGTCTCATATAGTATTTTTCCTTTTGTGATTGAGTAATTTCACTCAGTATAATGTCCTCTAGATTTACCATGTGTGTTTAACATTGCCTAGTAAGTACTCCATTGTATTTACCAAAGTTTATTCTTTCATTGATGGGAATTCAAGTTGTCTCCTCTTTTTGCTATTGTGAATAGTGCTGCAGCGAACATGGGCTTGCATACATGGGCTTGCATACATATTTCCAGCTTTTTGAGGCAGCACCATATCATTTTCCACAGTGGTTGCATCCCGTTTCCCAAACCCAGCAGCAGTGTATAAGGGTTCAGTCTATCTACACCTTCATCAGCATTTGTTTTCTGTTCTTTTGAACTTTGTTGTTACTGCTAGGGTGAAATAATACTTCCTTGTTTTGATTTGCATGACTCAGTAGGGTAAGCATTGAACTGCTAACCACAAGGTTGGCAGTTCAAACCTACCAGCTACTCCTCTGAAATAATATTCTGAGTGTCAGTATGACTCAGAACAGACTTGACGGCACTTAACAATGACCAATACCGTATTTCCTCATGTTTGTTGGCTGCATGGATGTCTCCTTTGGTGAAATGTCTGTGTCTATGTGTCTATAATCCATGCTCTCTGCCAAGTTAACTGGATTGTTTTTTTTTTCCTTGAGGTGTTGAAGTTGTCTGTAAGTTTTAGAGATTGCCCCCCTTCACTGCCAGTAATTTTTGCCAGTCTCGATTCTTTTTTGACTCTTTTGGTAAAAATCTTATAAGTTTGTACTTATTTTTTCATTGATCGTTCTTTATAGTTCTAGGTTTGCCTTCTCTGTATGATTTGAGATATAGGGTTGTTTCATTCATCAAAGAGATTCTCTCTCTTTCCCATTCAATGTGTTTCAGCTTTTTGTGAAAGATCAGTTGACTGTAGGTGGCTGGATTGACTGTTTCTCAGTTCTTTTCCGTTAATCTGTATTTTTCATTGTATCAGTACCACACTGTATAGATTTTGAGATGGAGGAGTGAGAGGCCTCCTACTTTGTTCTTTAGAAATGCTTTGCTTATCTGGGGTCTCCTTTCCATATTAAGTTGGTGATTGGATTTTCCATTTCTTTAAAGAATGTTGAAATCTAGATTGGGATTTCATTGTAACTGTAGATTGGTTTGGGTAGTTTTCCTATCCATATTGACCTGATAATGGAGTGGCTGATGGGAGTTAACAGTCCAGTGCTTACCCTACAGTGCCACACCAGTAGTCCCATAAGCATGGTAGATTCCACCATTTATGTAGGTCTATTAAGTCACTTTTATAGTTGGAAAGAAAATATTGAATAGCTTAGCTCCCAGTTGTATGGGTTATATACTGTTAGGTAAGTTTTCTGTTAATTTAAAAGAACTGTTATACCACAAATTTGGAACACCAGGAAAAAAATGAATGATGGTTTAAAATACTTTCATTTCTTTGCTTTTATAATATCCCCTTTCATGGTTGTGAATCAGGCTGTGAACCGCAAGGTCAGCAGTTCGAAACTATCAGCTGCTCCATGGGAGAAAGATGAGGTGTTCTGCTCCCGTAAAGACTTATAGCCTCAGAAACCCTGTATAGGGTTCACTATGAGTTGAAACCAACTCCCCAGCACATAACCACCATATATTATAAGCAATGGACTGATCGTATCCAACTCATATTAAGTACATAAGCAATGGACTGATCGTATCCAACTCATATTAAGTACATATTAAATACGTAATGCTAGATTTAACTGTGTATATATTTTGTTCTATATATGTAATATATACAAAGCAAACTGTTGCTAATTTCTTAACCTGTACACTAAAAATTAGCATGCTTGGTTTTCTCTGGAACACAACATTTCTGTAGGAGAAAAGAACACTGTCAAGTGAGTCTTACACAAATTAAACCAATAAGTAGCATATAATATTGACGACCTTCACAGTTACCGAGTCATTCGTCCAGTTACCTTCCAGAGATTGCTTGATTCACAGGCTAAGACAAACTGGTTTAACACCCTGCACGTACACACAGAATCTAATAATGAAGCTTATCATGCTGTTTCCTTGGCTTTTCATGGTCTGTGGCAGACTGGGATTGTCGATGAAACTGAAGCTTCCAGAGTGGAACGTGTGAAACAGGAGAGAGTTATTTTTGGGGAGTCCTTCGTGAAAGTGACAGAAGCAGCAAGGGCATCATCTTTACAGGTAAGGGCTTCTTTTCTGGGTGGATCAATTGTAATAATTATTTACTGCTAATTAAAGCAGACACTGTGATCTTCCAAGAAATCAAGTAACCTTGTTGCTAGATGCCATCGAGTTGGTACTGATCCATAGTGACCTTATGCAGAACAAAACACTGCCCAATCCTGGGCCAACCTCACTACTGTTGCCACACTTGAATCCATTGATACTGCCACCTGGCCAATCCATCTCGTTGGGGGTCTTCCTCTTTTTCTCCTGACCCTCCACCTTACCAAACATGGTATCCTCCAGTGACTTGTCCCTCCTCACAATATGTCCGAAGTATGAGAGACGAAGTTTGGCTATCCTGGCTCCAAAGAGTACTCTGGCTGCACTTCTTCCAAAACAGATCTTCCAAAATGGATTTGTTGGTTCTTTTGGCAGCCCGTGGCACTTTCAATTTCTTCTCCAATACCATAACTCAAAAGCATCAATTCTTCTACGGTCTTCCTTATTCACACTGTCCAGCTTTCACATGCATATGAGGTTATTGAAAATACCATGGCTTGGGTCAGGCGCACCTTAGTCGTCAAGCTGACATCTCTGCTCTTCAGCACTTTAAAAAGGTCTTGTGCAGCAGATTTGCCTAATGCAATACATTGTTTGATTTCTTGACTGCTGCTTCTGTGAGTGTTGATAGTTGATCCAAGAAGAATGAAGTCCTTGACAACTTCAGTCTTTTCTCCGTTGATAAGAATGTTGTTTATTGGTCCAGTGGTGAGGATTTTTGTTTTCTTGACATTGAGTTGTAATCCATATGGAAGGCTGTGCTCTTTGATCTTCATCAGCAAATGTTTTAAGTCCTCTTTGCTTTCAGCAAGCAAGGTTGTATCATCTGCGTATCACAGATTGTTATTGAGTCTTCCTCCAATCCTGATGCCATGTTTTTCTTCATATAACCCAGCTTCTCGGATTATTTGCTTAGCATACAGGTTGAATAAGTATGGTGAAAGGATACAACCTTGTCGTACACCTTTCTTGATTTTAAACCATTCAGTGTTCCCATGTTCTGTTTGAATAGCTGCTTCTTGGTCCAGGTACAGATTCCTCATGAGCACAATTAAGTGTTCTGGAATACTCATACTTCGCAATGTTGTCCATAGCTTCTCATGATCCACACAATCAAAAGCCTTTGTGTAGTCAATAAAGCACAGGCAAACATCTTTCTGAAACTCTCTGCTTTCATCCAAAATCCCTCAGACATCAGCAGTGATATCCCTCGTTCCACAGCCTTTTCTGAATCCGGCTTGAATCTTTGAAAGTTCTCTGTCAATGTATGCTTGCAGCCATTTCTGTGTTACCTTTAGTAAATATCAAAGAGATTGTCCGATAATTTCCGCATTCCGTTGGGTCACCTCTCTTTGGAATGGGCACAAATACAGATCTCTTCCAGGATCTCTTCCAATCAGTCGGCCAGATAGTTGTCTTCCAAATTTCTTGGCAGAGATGAGTGCCTCCAGTGCTGCCTTACTTTTTGAAAGAGTTCAATTTTTATTCCATCAATTCCTGGTGCCTTGTTCTTTGCCAATTCCTTCAGTGCACCTTGGACTTCCTCCTTCAGTGTTATTGGTCTCTTGATCATATGCTACCTCTTGAAATGGCTTGAACATTAATTTCTTTTGGTACAGTGACTGTGTATTCCTTCCATCTTCTCTTGGTGCTTTCTGCATCATTCTATAATTTGCCCAGAGAATCTTTCAATAATGAACGTCGAGGCTTGAATTTTTTCTTCAGTACCCCAGCTTGAGAAATGCTGAGCGTGTTCTTCCTTTTTGGTTTTCTGATTCCAAATCTTTGCACATTTTGTTGTAATATTTGGCTTTATTTTCTCGAGATGATCTTTCAAGTTTTCTGTTCAGCTCTTGGACCTCCTCATTTCTTCCGTGTGCTTTAGTATCTCTACCCTGGAGAGCAAGTTTCAGTGTCTCTTCTGACATCCATTTTAACCTTTTCCTTCTTTCTTGTCTTCTCAATGATTTTTTACTTTTTTCACGTGTGTGATATACTTGATGTCATCCCACGACTCTTCTGGTCTTCGGTCTTTAGTGTTTAATGTATCAAATCTGTTCTTCAGATGATCTCTAAATTCAGGTGGGATATTCAAGGACAGATTTTGGCTCTTGTGGACTTGTTTTCATTTTCTTCAACTTCGGTTTGAATTTGCATATGAGTAATTGATGGTCTGTTGCAGTTTGCCCCTGGCCTTGTTTTCACTGATGATATGGAGCTTTTTCCATTGTCTCTTTCTGCAGATGTAGTCAATTTGATTTCTAGGTATTCCATCTGTATAATCATCTCTTACCCTGTCTAAAGAAGGTACCTGAAATTAACAAATCATTGGTCTTGCAGAATTCTATATGCGTACTCCAGCATTATTTCTAACACCAAGGCCATATTTTCCAACTAATGATCCTTCCTCTTTGCTCCCAATGTTTGCCTTCCAATCCACCTGTAATGATCAATACATCTTGATTGCATGGTTGATCAATTTCAGATTGAAAAAGTTGGTAGAATTCTGCTATTTCATCCTCACTGGCTTTAGTGGTTGGTGTGTAAATTTGAATAAGAGTGATATTAGCTGGGCTTCCTTGTAGGCACATGGATATTATACTATCACAGACAGTGTACCTCATGACTGATCTGGATATGTTCTTTTTGACAATGAATGCAACACCATTCCTCTTCAATTTGCCATTTCTGGCATAGAAAACCATGTGGTCATTAGATTCAAAATGGCCAGATTCAAAATGGCCAATACCAGTCCATTTCAGTTTACTAATGCCTAAGATACCGATGTTTATGTGTTCCATTTCATTTTTGACAATTTCTAATTTTCCCAGATTCATACTTTGTACATTCCATGTTCCGATTTTCAATGGACATTTACAGCTGTTTCTCTTCATTTTGAGTTGTGCCCCACCAGGAAATGAAGGTCCCGTGGGCTTTACTCCATTTGTGTCATCACGGTCAACTCTACTTCGAGGAGGCAGGTCTTCCCCAGTATCATTTTCCAGCACTATATCTGACAGTGTTTCTCTGCTATTCATAAGGTTTTCAGTGACTGAAGATTCAGAAGTAGTTTGTCACTCTTTCTTCCTAGTCTGTCTTTGTCTGGAAGCATATCTGAAACCTGTCCACCATGGGTGACCCTGCTAGTATTTAAAATACCAGTGGCATAGCTTTCAGAATCACAGCAATTCACAAGCCACCACAGTATGACAAACTGACAGACAAGCGAAATGAGCTGCTCAGGTTGGAAGGCACTCAAAATGCTGACTGGAGAAGAGCTGCCTCCTCAGAGTGGAGTTGACCAAAGCCCGTGGGGACCTTCGTTTGCTGATGGGGCACAACTCAAAATGAAGATTAAGCTAGACATGTAAAATTCTCCTATAGAAGTTTCTCTTTTAAAATCACATTTCTTCTTCCTTAAGAGTTATCAAATGCATTGTTGTTATTAGGTCCATGGAGTTGGTTCTGACTCAACCCTGTATAGAGTTTCCTAAAAAAAGTGGCTGGTGAGTTTGAACCACTTCGCTTACTTGGCAGTCCAGTGCTTTATTCCATAGCGCCACACCAGGACTCCTCCATCAAATGCAGAGAGGTGGACTACTTAAAAGTTTTGAACATCATACCAAATCTAATGTGAAGACAGCTGTCATTTGCAATAAATTCTGGACTACATTCTAAATTGTTTGATTTGATGCCTTGCCTCATTTAGAGTGTTCAAACAGTATGTTTAATTACTAACAGTATTTTGACTTAGTAATCCATAAAAGGGGCAATTTAATTACTAACAGTATTTTGACTTATTTGCCCCTTTTATGGATTACTTTTACAAAAAGAAAATAGCTTGTTTTCAAGACATACATAATTTTGTAAATTTCAGGCATGAAAAGTTATATCTCACAGTAGGGCCAGATTTACTTGTAATCCACATACAGCAAGATACACCACAAATCAACCAAAAAATGCCTTCATGTAGTTTTCCAGATGATCTGGGGGTGGAAGAACGTACTCTTATGGAGAAGCAAGGGATTGGAATAATATTTACACATTAACTTCTTACCGTTTTAGAAGCTGTTCTAGTAGTAAATGTTACTGTCATCCAAGAGGAGGGTTTCTTATCACACTGTCTTCAATCTACAGCCTTGTGCAAAAAGAGCTCGTCATGAGTTCCCCTTAGAAGAAGAGTACAGGTCAGCATTACATACAGCAACTGGGGCCTTGGAGGCAATAGAGTTGTTGCTCCAGAAGTCCCCAGCTCCAGACTGGCTGCTAAAGAAAATAGAAGTGCTCCAGGGAAAGATCGATAAGCTAAAACACTGCTCACTCAAGGGTGAAACGTGAAGGGACCGGACCTTGACACTAGATATAATTGGGTATGTGATGCTTTGTAATCCTATGGTATGTTGTGTAAATTAATATATTGATATAATTATGTCTGTACATATTCAAACACATAAAACAGCTTTTATAAAGTTGAATCTAGTGAAAATAGTCTTTATTGGACATTGAGAGAACAAGATAATTGGGAATATTTCTCATTAAGAACTTTGGTACAACATGATACAAGTGGGATGGTGGTAACTGCCCAGGTCCACTAAGGACCATTCATTCAATAGCACAACTGTAAACAAATAAATAAGCTGCCTAAGGAAATCTTAGTAATTTAAAATCATTTATATACTTCATAGCTAAAACTTTTTTCAGTACTTCATATTTCTCAATAGAACTTACTCTTCTGTTAAAGAAATGGCACAAATTAAGCTAACCAGCTTGATATATTTATTTTCTTTACTTCCAGAACTGTCCTGGAAAAAGCAGTAAATCCAACATTTCCACAGCCACTTGCTCTTCAGACACCGGCACAGTCAGTGCCCCCAGGCTCTTCCTCTCCTGGGGCGTCCTGCCAGCACGCAAGGCCTCACATTTCAGTTGGCACAGATGGGAAAAGAGGTCCTGGGCTGGGAAAAACAGGCTGCCTTGTGTTGTCTTGTACTCAGAGCCTGCTTTTGAGGTATTAATTTGATTAAAGAAAAAAAAGGGAACCTTTTATTTCCTAAAGTTTATTCATACCCGTTGTCACCAGTTATTATCTTCCCAGTTCAGCTCCCCTTCTTCTCCCCAGCCACCAGCCTCTCCCTGTAACAAAAAGCACACCAAGAGCAAGCTGCTGAACAATCATCTCTAGAACTGAAAAGGAACAAAGGGGCCTGTCACTGTCATGTGATGCCAATGTAAGTAAATGTAGGCAGGATTACTTTGGTTCCAGTATTATAAAACCAGATGGTAAGAAGATACAATTTCAAGCATCATATAGTCCAATATGATGACACCCTATTCTTGGCTTAGTAACTAGCTTCCAGCTAGTCATGTAATCGCTACATTTTTCTGGAGCAGGAAAGATACCATTTATATTCGTTTTATGCTCAACTTGATCATTTTAACCAGTTGCGTAAATTAGTGTTTCCCTCACTGGGAAAATATGTTTGTTAAAAATGGGTCAGTGCAACTGAGACCCTTGAGAGGTATCCTTAAACTAGTAGCACAATTGAACAGACCTCACCTCAGTAATTTCTTCTGCAGCAAATTTTGAGGAAAACTGCATCATTGGTGAGATCTCGTCCTTGTTGGGAACCATCATTTCTGTCCTCATTTCAGGTAAAATAAGAAAAGCAGTTGAAGGTTTTATTTCTGGGATCATATCAGCAAACCAATCTAACTCAGGATCTTGTACTGGTTTCTTTTTAACCTGGATGGTAAACTCCTCTCCTAAACCATGTTCCGACGGAACTTTAAGTGGCCTTTCTTGTGTTGACACTCTCGGTGGATTGTGGTTTGGATCATCTGCATTTTGATTAAGACTGGCTTTTGATGACAGGCTTGATTTCGAAGGCCCAGACTCTTCAGTGAGTGAAAGCAAAGCAGGAATGGGCTCTTGCTCTCGTGAGGTAACAGGTCTTGTAGCAGGGATTCCACCTCTGAGATTGATTTTAGTATCTATGTTGCTGGGGTCAGAGTCATCCCAGGACTCCTCCTTCACAGTAATTGGGGACTTGGCAACATCGCATGGCTCTCTCGGCCAAATCTGTATGTTGGTAGTTTTGCTTTCAGACTCCTCAGGTTCACTCCAATCAGGCCACTCTTCCAACTTTTTGGAACTTGAAGGTAAGTTCTCACTGTTCTCTGAAATATTTTTTACATCTGGGATTCCATTCATGGCAAATTTAGTATGCTGAAAAAACTGATTACCTATGGAAAAATAATCATTCTTTTATAAAAGGTTGAAGAGCAAGCAATATATTTAGGAGAAGGTTAACATGAACACAAACTAAAAAAATATACATACTGCTGGGTTATCTTCCAAGTAAACAACAGTGAAAACATGTAAAATTTTCTAAATGCTGAAACCTCAATACTGAATAGTAATGAACTAGAGTACCCAATCCTTTACTAATCATTTAAGCTTGGTGTTTATAGTCGATTTGTTGTTGAAAATGCTGTTGAGTTGGTTCCAACTCATAGCCACCCTGTATAGGGTTTCCAAGAAGCAGCTGGTTAAGTCTGAACTGCCAACCTTTCAGTCCAGTGTGTATCCTACAATGAAAAAGTGTTAAGTGCACAAATAATTTTAGCTACCCCAACATACTCTAGTTTTAAAAAGATTATAAAGCATGACACTGAGAAATATTATTATAACAGATTCACAACACATTGCACACTTCCCAAAACTTAATTACCCACAGAACTCTTAACACACCTATTAACATCTTTCAGAAATACTGTTTCTTAGTATGACTTGGAAAATGCTGTACACAAAAGCAATGTAGTGGATTATGTGTTGAGCTGCTAACTGCAAGGTCAGCAGTTCAAATCTACCAGCTGCAACTCAGGAGAAAGTTAGGCTTTGTGCTCCCATAAAGATTTACAGTCTCAGAAACCCTATGCAGGGTCACTGTGAGTTAGAACTGACTCCCCATGGCACACAACCACCACCAAAGCATCAAATACCCAGAATAAAGGATCTGGTGTAAAAAACTCAGGCATTGTCAGCAGGCTCGTCTCACTAGTTACGGGGAAAGAGCAAAATATAGACCTAAAGTCCAGGGGAACAACATGAGCCCAAGTACGTACAGTAAAACAGACAAAAGCCGGAAATGTCAGAGAAGGAAAATGAAGATATTTTCCACTAATACATCACCCTGTCTAAGGCAGAAAACTTGCGAGACCTAGAAAAACATGGCAGCCACACCAAATTCTAGCTCTCACAGGTTTCACTATATAATGAAAGCTGTATCAAGATTCCCAAAGTGCCCTTAACTTTCAGAATTTAAATTCATTACTCTTAAGTAAACATTTATCCACACAATAGAAAAGCTATATAAATTTAATGTTTCTACCTTTCTGTAAAACAGTATTGTAGTAGTCTTGCTGTATGTGCTTCTTGCTGCTGATGGGTAAGTTGTCAGAAAAGAAACATTTAGGGAAGAGACTAGAGGAGGGATTCTCCAAGATTGGCGAGATCTGACTGTGCTGGCTGCAGACGACGTGCGTGGGAGAATCTGAAGGTGAATAAAAACCCCAGAGTGAAAGGGGCAGTACAGTGCTTCTCATCTTTAAGTTAAGAGGGCTCAGGAGGATGCACATCATTTACACAGTTCAAAAGATGGAACACATCTATTAGGGAATGGACTGCCTGTCTGTGTAAGTGTTCAAGCATAGGCTGACTGGTGGTGGGAACAGAAAAGTCTCGAGCGTTAGCTGAGGTTTGGATGATATACGTAATAGTTAGAATCGTAACTGATTGTTTTATTCCTTTTAAGAATAAAAGTGGTTAGTGAGAGGACCTCCCTGGCAGCACTCCACATCCTGAAGAAGAGGCTGTGTGTCTGGAAAGACTGGCATGTGGGGTACAAACAGGGCTCACCAGTCTCTTTGGGGAAGTTGGTATATGCCTATGAGATCTTATGTCTTTTCAGAAAACCCTTTAAAAAAGTCTGCCACTGCTGCTGTAGTACATGGACTCTTCTTTTGTTTTTTATTAAGGTAATAGGGTAATGCAAGTAAATGTCTGCAACTAGAAAATTCCACCCAGTAAAACAAATCTGCATGGAAGATTCTGTCACTTTAACATGCAAAGTTGCCCTAAGCCTTAATTATTGTACATTAACTGTAAATTAGATAATATCTATTAAGTTAAATTATAGGCTGATCATAGCCTATTGAAACCAGAAATCTATACTAGTTCCTAGGTAAGCATACAATGGGGCTTATCCTCTTCCCTGCAAAAACAGGCCTGGTATATTTAATGGCTCATTTACTGTGTGGTGTAATCTGCTAACAGAATTGGTTTCGTGACAGAAGTTGAGGCGAGAGCCTTTTCAAACTCCTTAAAGCTACATTAATATTTGTTTCATTAGCAACAAGGTAAAATTGAAGTTGTTCCAGAACTTCTCGAAAACAGTGTTACTTTAAAGAAAAAATATCATGGAAACAAGAACTACCAGACAGGTTAACACAATACCACTGAGAACTAAATTAGAGGTTTGGAGCTTTATTAGCGATCCTAGTCCTATTCAAGATTCTATAGTAGAATACAGCAGCAGTGAGGTGGGTGATGCTATAATTGACTTTAGAGCCGATTACCAATAACCAAACCCACTGCTGCCATTGATTCCAACTGAGTGATCCTAGAGGACAGAGTTATCCCATAGCAGATTGCCTTTGTCTTGTTGAGCAACTGGTGAATTGAACTGACAATCTTTTGGTTAGCTGGGCATTTTAACCACTGTGCCACCAGGTGGGCAGGACTGATTATTAAAACTTAACAAAAACAGAATATACTTAAGTACATTTGAGTCGATTCTGATTCATAGCAACCCTGTGCAGTGTTTCTGAAGAGTGGCTGGTAAGTTTGAACACCCAACCTTGTGGTTACCAATCCAGTGTTTAAGCTACAGTGCCACACCAGTAATCTAGAAATGTGTTATTTATTGCAGTATTGTTCACAGTGGTTAAAAACCAAGAAATACCAGTACCCATCAATAGGGAAATCAACCAACGAATTATATTTAATGAAATAGTAGGCAGCTATCAAAAAACATGAGCTAGATAATTTTCAGCCAAGCATTTGTCTTAGAAAATAATTCAGAAAGGGTTGGGAAAGAAGGAGAAATAGAAGCAAAAATTTACAGGGAGGAAGTGGGTTTAAGTGTGGTATTACAGTGCAAGGACTGCAGTCATTGAACAGAAAGGAAACGTACAATTTGTTGAATATAAGACTGATGCAGTACTCTGTAAACCTTGACTCAATTCACATTGAAAGGGAAAAAAAGTGAGCTGTATACGTACTGATGTGACTATGCTGCTACATGGGGGAAAATGTGTGTTAAGATTTTCTTAACGTTCAAAAAAAAAACCTACAGAGCAGGGGCTTCAAAGGGTTCACAGTAAGACAGAATGAAAAGATAATGGAATCTTTCCATGAACTTTTTGAATCCCCTTTAGAATTCTCAAACTATTACAATTGGTTACCTTCTTGAAAGAGGCAGGAGACAGAAATTACTTACTTTCTCCTTATACTTATCATTTGACTGACTAGAATTTTTTTAGTCGTTCTTACCTTCTGGGGAAAGGTCAGCAGTTTTAGTAAAACTTGGAGCAGTACGTTTAAAGATCTTGGTTCTTTCTCCTCCCACAACTACTTCGGGTCCAAGTAGAGACACCAGCACTGCCAGGCTATGGAGAGTAATCGCCACAATGGAATCACTGGTGTCCCGCAGGCCCAGTAATACCTAGAAGGGATCAATCAAGTTCTAAGTAGAGACAACCACATTGCGTATTGCTCTCTTCCTCTGTAAACAAAGCAGTGAGCAGCATCACAATGCACACACGCTCAAATGACCTTCATTTTCTTAGCTTTCTGCCTCAGCTGACAGGCAGTGCAAAGGAACCTAAGCTGAGCCGCAACCCACCGGAGGACTGTGATGGTTAAAATAAAAAGGTTGTTTTAAGGCACTAAGTTTTAGATGGTTTGTTAGACAACAGGAAGCACCCATTCTTAATCCCTATGAGATGGCAGTCAGCTGTTGACAACATAAGATTGTTACATACTTCTACAACCCCAATACATACTTCTACAACCCCAATACTTAGGTAATAAAACTAGGCATAAAACCAGGTCTTTTACAAATATTTCTAAATATTTCTAAATAAAAGTATTTGAAAAACATTTCCCACATCCCACATGGTTGTCATTTAAAAGTGAAAACCCTGAGTAAGCAAATTAAAAAGGCTTGCTGGTGACTGATAAAGGAGCCCTAGTGTTGCAGTGGGTCAAATCCACCAGCTGCTCCATGGGAGAAAGATGTGGCAGTCTGATCCATTGTGATGTATCCAGCCTTAGAAATCCTAAAGAGTTGGGCTCTATCCCATAGGGTCACTATGAGTCAGCATCAACTTGATGGCCCAGGGTTGGTTTTGTTGTTATTTCAGTGGCTGATAAATAGGACAAGAACCAATGGTATGAGTAATCTCACACCCTCAATTCTATTTCGTTTGTGCCACTCTTATACGATGTTCACAAAGCATTCCACAAATAATTTTTGCTCCAAAGATTGGCAAACAGAATTATAGTTTCTCCCACATTAAGACAAAATAGAAATAATTGATTTGCCTGTGCAAATAGAATGGAAGCTCAGTTAGAATTTCAGCCCCCAGATCAGCAGCGCACTCTCCGCCCCAGCCCACTTTTGTGGAGGGCCCTGTCACTGACCTGTGGCAAGATGACTTTCCTCAGCTGCTCCTGAGTGAAGTACTCCACATACGCCTCAATGTGAGACAGCAGCACCAGCCGTACATGTTCCTCATGAACCTCAAACAGCTGCAGAAGCACAGGGATCACCCGGGACTGGAACAGGGCCAATGACAGCAAGCAAGAGGTTTCTCCCTGCACGTCATCTAACCAGGGAAACAGGCGCAGATTACCCATGGGGGAAAAAAAAAATTTTTTTTAGTGAAAGGAACATCTCGCAAAAGTTTTAATAACTCAGCCCAGAAATTTACACACTATTAAGCATCCTACATTCTTATTAACTCAAGGCTAAAAAATCTATTAGAACACTACCTTACAGAATTACAGAAATAATGTGCTCAAAATACTACCTATCAAACTTAATGTAATATGAAGCTTGTATTTTAAATAGAATCCTGAATCAATAACTTTCATAACATGTTTGATTATAAGGAATTTCATACTAGATTAATGACATTTTACTGCATAATTTCTTTGCAAAACCAGGAAGTATTAAATGCCACAAGGGGACCCTAGTACAGGTTTTGGTACCAGTTGTGGTGATGTGTGGTGAAGTTGGTTTCAACTCACAGTGACCCTGTACAGAGTTTCTGAGACTGTAAATCTTTATGGGAGCAGAGAGCCATATCTTTCTCCAGTGAAGCAGCTGGTGGATTTAAACTGCTGGTCTTGGGGTTAGCAGCTCAGCTCGTAATCCACTAGTTAATAATCCACTACCACTGGTTATCACTTGGGGACCTTTTAAAAAATAAACATCCATGGCCAGGCTCTGTCCAAGTCAGTGGTGAATCAGTGGGCAAATATTTTAAATCTCCCCTAGGTGATTCAAAGGCATACCTCTATGTATGATCTACAGAGTGGAAGGATGAGGGGGCTAGAGAGCAAGCGCAATAATCATCGTTAGAGGAAATGGCATCACAGGAGTGATACAAGGACATTCTATATTATAAAACTTACCTGCAACACTGCTTGGCTGGATTGGGATCGTTTTAAGAAAATTTCTGAAAGTGGCATGTGCCTAACTAAAAATTGTACAGTAATATATGAATGAATGCTACATTCGCTAACCTGATGTGTTACCACCAAGTGCTGTACAGTTAGTTATATGTTTCAAAGTAATAATCATTTCAGTTAGAAAAAACCTTGTTGCTGTTATGTGCCATGGAGTCGGTTCCGACTCATAGCGACCCTGTACAGGGTTTCCGAGGCTGTAAATCTTTATGGGAGCAGAAAGCCTCATCTTTCTTCCGCGAACAGCTGGGAGTTTCAAACTGCTGACTGTTTGAGATTCACAGCCCAATTCGTAACCACTACGCTACCCGAGCCCTTAGAAGCCCTTAGAAAAAACCCAGAAGCCTGAAAATGAAACAGTCTTCTTTTCAATCTTTCCACCGGAACTAGAAAAATCAGCTGATTGCTACTGGGAAGCTGGGCCATATACAGGCCTAAATGATTAATTGCAGAGGCAGCAGTTGTGTGGCAATATATGCATACCATATGCTAGTCCACAATGCAGATTTTCTAAAAATAACTGCTTACTACATAAATCTGATTCTCCAAGAAGGCGCACCACCCTCACCTTTGATACCAGGTTTAAGTCAAAGTTAACATCTCAAGAGCCAACAATTTTTCTCCATTTTTAGAATAAGACATTACCAACTACCCCATGAAGTAATAATCTCTCTCTGCTTGAACACAGGTTAATAATTGACAAACTCCTTAATTCCAAAAATACTTGCTTGAAAAATATTTTACCTTTTTTGGGTCCAAGCAGATGAGGAAGAAAACTTTTAACAGCTACTGGTTCTGCAAACACCAACTGATTAAGCAGAAGAGGCACCAACCGTGATGCTATTAGTTCCTCTGATAAGCAGCTGACTCGGTCCAGCAAGAACCTGAGGGCAGGAGGAAAGCTGAGAAATGGCTTGAGACATTCAGACAGCTCACTTGGACACTTGTCCACTCCATTTCCATCAAAGTGATACATTTTCAAATGTAGCTTGGAAGGGTGAGCAGATCCTGTCATTTCCCAGTTATTCAAGAAAAAAATGCAGAAGGTCTGAGGCAAGGCCAGCTTACTCAACACACACATACAAAGGCCTTCAAAAAGTTCATGGAAAAATCCCTTTTATCTGTCATTCGATTTTTTTCCCCATGAAATTATTGAGGCCCCTTTCAACAACCCAATTCCAAGGTAGAAAATATTTTCAACACAAATCACCCTTTATTCCTGGCAAATGTCCTTTTTATCTCTTTAAGAGACTTTCTCATCAATAAGTTACTTTCTCAAATATATAACATGTAGGGTATTAGACATTTTCCACAATCGAATGAATAAGCTTTTGTTACCTCATTAAATATATGTGTATATATTATCACATAGACACACACCCACTCTCCTCACTGACATTAGTTTCAAAGATCGTGTCATTATGTGGAAATTGGCCTTATGTGAAAATGCAGAATGGCCATCAGATCACAAAATGGAAGATGACATCATTACATAACTTGCAAATCCAAGCAAGCTGACACATCTTTAACCACTGCAACCAGTGTTACTCTCAATTTGCATGTCGGTGTTCATTACTACCAGGTATACATCGTTAATGAACAAAATGGTCAGATTTTTCCCACCTGTCACAAATGCAAACTGTCATAAGAGGGAGGTGTAGGTATATGTGTGTGTGTTACTATATACACACACATACACAGAAACAAGGGAGCTTCACAAACTTAAGGGACAAATGGAATGGAAGACAATGGAATTTTCCATTAGTTTTTGAAGCCCATAGTATGTAATATATATAAATAACAGTACTTTAAGAACTCATTATTGTTAGGTGCCATCGAGTCGTTACCGACTCAGCGAACCTATGCACAACAGAATGAAACATTGCCCCGGTCCTTTGGCCAACCTCACTATTGTTCCCACGCACGAGCCCATTGATGCTGCCATTTGGGTTTTCCTCTGACCCTCGCTGGAGAAGGATGTCATACTTGCTAAGAACTACATAGATAACAGGTATTAAATAGGTCACATCACCTGTGCTCTCCCCTCCAGGTCTACATCTGTATTCATTCTGTCTGACTTCTCAGTTACCAAGGATTTGACAGCTTCTCAACGAGCCACGGCCCCACATGCCTTTCTCTTCCAGGACCCTAATGGGCCCCCCAATGTGACAGCATCAACTGCTCCATCTGCTTCTCACTAGCTCTTTTCCCTTACTCTGTCATATGCTCAATCACTTACATTCTTGAAAAGCAGTCCTTCCTTGACTGCATTTTCTCCTGTAGTAATCACACGTTCTCTCCTTCAAATTTTGCAGGAGGAAGTTATACCTTTCTACTTTTCTACCTTCCTTTCTCTCTGCACTATTGTGAATTGCTTAGTATGGCCCCTCTAGCCATAGTCCAACTCCCAGCAAGTGACTGGGAAGGACAATTCAAATGTGAGGTATTTGCAGGCCAACAAGGGGATTGGATAGTTTGCTAGCAAATAGGTACATGGCATCCTTGTGGTGATGGGGTCCATACAAACAACACATTCGGAGCCCTAATGTGAGTCGTAGTCAGTATTTTACCAGCCTCCTAGGCTTAAAATGAGCCATCCCAGAGGAGGGAAAGGTAAAATTATGGACAGAAGAGCCAAAAGCTTAAATTGGACCCAAGATCTCTGGCAGAACCTCCTCAAGCCTTGAGACCACTGGTTAAGTAGCATAACCAGGCGACTGGTGGCTTCCAGGTCTATGGAGCAAGAAAGCTGAGCAAGCACCTTTGGGCACTTAACCAGGGAGCCAGGTTTGCTGACCCACAGAGGTACTTTCTGAGCACCTTCAGACTGAGGCTCGTGGACAAAGGTGGCAATAATTAGCAGAGCTGAAAGAACTTTGTCCAAACATTTGATTAAGCACAGCAGAGGCAAAGGTGCTATGGAACTGACAGATCAACAGCCAGATAGAGGCCTGCCTGGGAGCGCAGTTAAGAAGCTATCCTGATCAAATAATTGTATTCTTAAGTCATATCTATTCCTGAATTGTGTGGCGCTGTGGGCTAATGCGTCAGACTGCAAAGTCACTTGAACTGCAAGGTTGGAGCTTCAAGCTCACCAGCTGTTCCTTGGAAACCCTATACAGGGTCGCTATGGGTTGAAATTGACTCGATGGCACTTAACAACTTCCCTAATAAACCCTGTAACTGTATGGTCTGAGTTCTTTTGACCACGGCCATGGATTACTGTGCCCAGCAGAGAAGTTGAGAGTGCCGTGGGAGGGACACACTCCCACTGGTGTCAGAATTGGTAAAAACATTGGGGGAAGGAGGCATGTCTGACCTCTGCCTCCTAGGAATCAGCCTTGAGCTGATGCTGATGCTGATTTTCTCTCCCTCTTGTGAAGTTGTAGGTCAGATGGTTCCCCAATACCATTTTATACTCTTCCATTCTTTATGTGCTGCAGTCTGACTCACTCTGCAGAAAGTAAGTACTATTGCTAAGGCAAAGTTACTCTGTCCCACTCATCATGCACCCTCCCTCCCCACTCGTGCCCATGCTTCAACTTGGGCCGACTCGCTGTCCCTTTCATGCCACTCACTTTCTCGCGGAAAAATGTCACCACCTAAGGCTAAGGACATTCTAACATTCACCCGTAGCTCTGCGACTTAAGACTTTCTGAGCTTCAGACTCAATTTGGCCAAATGCCCAACCGATCTCTATCTGAAGCCCCATAGCCACTTCCAACACAGAATTCATCATTATTCCTGCACACCAGCTCTTCCATTCCAATGCTCTTGAATTCATTTCATGATAATTACAAGACCTGCCTGTTTTACCTTGTGTCAGTGGTTTCAGTTTCATTTCTACCACCAACACGGAGGCCTCACATTTACTGCCTGGATTACCAGCATACTAACCAATCCAAATCCAACCCCTCCAGACAGCAGAGTGATCTCTAAAGGGAGAATCCAATCATTCCACAGCTGTCCTTCCCCTTCAATGACTTCAACACCCGAGGCCCCTGCTGACAGGTCAGGAAGTCCTCACCACCATACACAAGATGCTGAAGATCTGGCTCTGCCCACCTCTCAAGCCGCAGCTCTCACCTATTTGTCTCAGAATTTGCAGCTGGGCTGCTTTTTGTACCCCTCATAAACAGTTTAACATTTTGCCCCCATTCATGTCGTCCCTCTGCCTAGAGCTCCCTTTCCTCTGCCACCTCCTGCCCCGTGCTGAGGATGGCCTCTGCTGTGTACAATCCCCTGTTCAGTGACTGAGAGTCTGTGCATCTGCTCCTGTCTCCGGGGAAACCTACCTTAGGGCTATCAGAAAGCCTCACATACAGGAAATGGTCAATAAGCCTATGAAATCAAAAGTCTGATTCACCTTCTCGAGAATACTGTACTTGATTGAATAGACTTAATTCAAGCAACTAAATTCAAGGTTTAATTTTCTAAACTTACTTGAAAAATTCAGTTTTTTCCTCTTCACTTTTCAATGTTAAACTTTTCAAGAAATTCACAATTTCTAGAAAATCATTTCTAAATGTCAAAAAAAAAAAAAAAAGGCAAGACAGCAGCAGATTAGAGAAGGCATGTGAAGTACTAAAACCATAACCACAGGTGACAGCATAGTCATTTTCATAGTAAATTTCAACATTCTCCTGTGCCATTTAAAAGAATCTACTTTAACTCAGAGGGGACTCTACTGACACTATAGGGCAGAGGAGAGCTGCCCCAGAGGATTTCCAAGGCTGTACATCTTTATGGAAGCAAACTGACTCATGTTTCTCCCTTGGAGCAGCTGGTGGGTTTGAAGCACCAATCTCTGTTGGGAGTCAAGCACTTTACCCACAGCAGTACCAGGGCTTCCTTGAACAAATCGTTAAGTCCTTTAATAGGAGGAGGTTTCAAAAAGCTCATGGACAAATGAAACTTAAAGATAATGGAACTCTTCCTTGAAGTTTTTGAAGCTCCTTCAAATTTAATATATCAAAAGGAATCTGTTAAGGTTATACAACAACTTTAAAACACATACTCAAGTATGTTTCAGGGCTCTAACAACTTTTTATTATAATAAATAGAATATCCTGGAGGAAACAGCATGGTTACCATTATAGAAGAACTGATTCCTAAGTCTCCTTGTGCAAAGTAAAAAGTATCAAAGGTTGGGGGAATGAGGGATATTTAAATTTCTCATTTGTTTTCCAGTTTTAAGCTATTATAGCCTTTTTTTCAGGGAGGCAGGGGTGAATGTGACAGGCTCTACTCACCTCACACACTATGGAAGTGCTGCCCCCTGCCAGCTCAGTATGCAACCGGCACCACCTTACGCAAGCGCCCCAACAAGTACGGCTGACCACTCAAGTCTCTGCCTCTGGTGTCTACACTTATTTCCCTCTAGCTCAACAGAAAGCTCATTTACACTATGCACAAATGTCTTAACAACTCTAGTCAGATCGGCTCTGCTGCCACAGCAAGGCATGCTGGCCCCAGCCCCTTCTGGTCTTCCAGGCTGCGTTTCCTTTTCACATGATACTTCAGGAATGGGGTGCATTTAGTTTTCCTCTCTTCCCTCTCTATTTAAAATATAATTGTTAGTGAAAAATTCTTATTACACATAATGAGATAATCTATTTACTGTAAAAGAGTTTGTATCAAGGTTAATAAAATATTTCTACAAAATTACAACTGTAACTCCAGTAACATCACTGAAACTATCTCCTTTGCTTTGTCTAATAATAATCTACCCAGTCCCATCATAGAGGTAATTTCCCCCACTTCAGGGATGTCACATTTCCCTTTAACTCTGGTTTTCCTACTGCAAAGACATGATTTTTTGTTTCAAAACTGACATACAGTTGACTTTGCTAATATAAGTCAAGGATATGGAATTAACCTGTGTGGGAGTTCTACAGTCATGGAAATAACAAATGATGGACACAGAATTAAAACTAACCTTGAAGAGTGATTCAAAATCTCTCTGAATCCAGCGGAAGCGCTAACAGTTACACTGTGCCCCTCCCTCAAAAGCGAATTCCTGGCTCTTTCATTTGTGTTACTAAAGAAAAGCAATCTTCTGCCTGAAGAAAAATAAGCTCATTTCCCCAACAGGAGCAACTTTAACAATCAAACTCACATCAACAAGTAAATGCCAACAGAAAGGAGAAGTGGCAGTTATTAATTTCCTCAATGAATTCAGAGCTATAAGCCCCTGCACACAGTTTTGCTTCCTCAGAAGCAGCAGCTTGAATGCACCCCGCTGTATCTAAACCTAACCACCACAAGAATTAGGGATTTCCAAACGCCCTATGTGTGACAGGAATCTGAGAGGCTTCTTACTTCCTCCGTTTTTCCTGGAGACCTGATTCAATCTCTCCTAATGACTAATGACAACGAGAGAGGGCACCACTTAGTCCTCCACAGCTTAGCCTGGGATAGAACGTATAGGGAGGGGAGCCAGCAGCAGTGGGCAGCCGCCAGTGTGGGACACAGACCCCTCACCTGAAGAAGTCATGGGACAGTAAGGTGCAGAGCGCTGGTCGACAGTTTGGGATGGGATTTAGCAAAGTTGAGTGCAAGGTCTGTTGAAAACTGGAGAGAACATCCGCTGAAACTGAAATCCAGAGCTACAGTTAGTTTCCAATGCCTTCTCCCTCTTTTCAGACCTCTATAGCGGGAGGCTGACGAGAGCAAAAACCAACCTGTAAAAACCCAAACAAACAAAGCCCTGGCTGTTGGTAAACAGCCAAACTCCTTGGCAGGTGTTGACAGTTGTCCTCCCAACTTGCCTAAGCCCTCCCGGGACAGGGAGCCTCCCTCCACCCTCTCATTTCCTGGCTTGGCTCAGGGGCCCAAAGGAGAGAAATAAGTGGCAGGTGTGCAGGCCCCTCATCTGAACCACCAAATACACAAACTAGCTGAGGGGCTACTGTCTCAAATCTCCAAGGCAGGTGCATAAATTCTATAGCTGCCTAGGAGAAAGGTGTGTTCATAACACACAATGGGATGCCCTGGGGTCTTAAGGTTTCATGGCAATTTAGACCCGACAGCCCAGTGATGCCTGTGAGATCAGAATACTGCACATCCTGGCAGGAGACACTGTGCTAGAAGTTCTAGCCTGCACATAGCGTTAGCGAAGTGAGAAAACGGCCAGAGAGAGGAATCTCATGTGGCAGGTGCCCCAGGAAACCTCATGGTTAAAATGAAAGGGCTGGAGTGAGAGGTTGGAGGAGAACGAAACAGAGTAAAAGCAGGCAATGAGCATGAAAGAGGAAAAGAATGTCTTTAGAAGCCTGGGCTTTAAGGGGCAATAAAGAAAAAATGCAAATTATAGCAAGAAAAAACCCCAAAAGGTCTTTGAAAGAATAGAGAAAAAGAAATATGAAGCTTTAGTTAGAAATGAATTTAAGTAATAATTTTAATCTTTATCCTTCAGACTATTACATAATAGTCTAAATCAAAACCAGCATTTACTTATTGGCAGGTGCAATAAGCAAGGCAGAGGCTTTGCACCCTGAATACCAATACTGATGAGTAAAAATATTCACGCCGGATACTGACAGCCTCGGTCCAAGGTATTTTCTTGCTGCTCCTAATGTCGGCCCTCAACCTGACCACCAAGACTCCTTCCTAGGACCACAGACTGAGGGCCTTTCCCTTCCACTTAGAACCGAACACAGACGAGCTTCCTACTCCTGTGGGAAGGGGTAGGACAGCTCCGACTCACCCTGTTCCCTTAAGATTGTGAGCAAACTTTCCACCAGTGTTCCAAAGGCATAGGCATCCCGGGCATGTCCATGGGACTCTGGCAGAACTGTGAAGTCTGGAGACTAAAAGCAGTGAGGACCATTAAGACTAGGGGATCTGCCTTACAAGTCATGTCCCATTTTCTCCTGTGTTTACATTTATGACTAACTAAGAGCTAACTGATTTGTAGGATCTTATACTATTAAAGAATGACATTTATCAGAGATTTTTAAGTATCCAATAGGGGTAGAAAGAGAAATAAATAAAAAAAACCTATTTCTAGCTTTCAAAACATTTTCACTGTAACCCAGAATTTTCTAAAATTAATTTACAGCTTGTCCTAGAATAGATACATATGAGGGGGCTTAAATAAGTTAATAGAAAACTGTAATTAAAAGATAATGGAATTTTGCGTGAACTTTTGGAGCCCCTCATATATACATACATAATGGAATCTAAAGTTTCACAGAATACTTATACTTGATACCTAAGATGTCCAATGGTATTTCCTGTTTATTCCATCTGATTTTTTTCAGAATACTGATCATGATCCCTTGGTATATACTCATAATACTTATTTGGATAAATCTTATTTATTTCCAGCCTTAAGCCTATACTTTGTAGTAGTAGCCTACACTTTGTAGATTTTTCTGAGTTTCTGTGGCCTGTGAAGCACACTAAATATTGCTTTTAGGGTTCCAAGTGTTATTTATAATGATTTAAATAACAAGGTTTAGAGGGAGCATCTGCTTTTGAATTTACTGGTAAAGACAATCGTTAGCAACATCATCATGTTAATTGTTGTTCTCCTATGCACCTTGGAACCCTAACTACTGGCCAGGTAGGCAGATGAATGGCTTGGGTAAAGCACAGTAAAGGACTAGGGATGCTGCATCGCCCAGAATTACAGCTTCCAGCAAGGTAACTACAAAGACTTATCCTAAAATGAGTAAGAACCACCTGTCATGTGCCCCCTGAGTGTTCCTGGCTGGGGTCATAAGATGATTCTCAGAAACTGTGAAGGCCAGAATTACTATGGGGCACCTATTAAAACTCAGTAAAGAAAGGAGTAGACAGAAGAAAGTTGTTTTGAGTTTCATGCTTACACAATTAAGACTTGGTTACATCTACAATATATCCTCTTACCTTCTCTTCAGGAGGAATAGAAGCTGGGTCTCTTACTGACTGAATACTCCTCAGAAACTAGACGGAGAAATAAAGAAAAGTCACTGATCCAAATCTCGGGCAAACCAATCTCTTACATCAAGTTATAAAAGCAATGCAATGGAAACAGCACCTATAAAATCCTTCAAACCATGCATTAATTACATAAATTTAAAACCTTTAAAAAATGGAAACACAGTTCCACGCAAAGTGCAAAACCCAGTGGCAAATCAATGTTTGTGTTTCCTTTGCTCTCCCCTTTAGCAGGTTTCATAGAGAGCCTCTGCTGTTCATGGTATCTCAGCTCATTTCCCTACATGGAAACTAAGAATAGCGGCTTCTCAGCCTACACAGCTGTTATCAAATCAGAGGCTTCTCAAGCACTTATCAAATCTATCATCCATCATAAAGCTTGCTGTCACCATGAGGTATAAAAGATGAAGAAAGGCGAGAACCAACACCCACAGAACAATCATCTAGTCTTTCTTCCAAAGGTTATTTCTGAGTACTTACATGTCCAAAACACTACGTAGGGCATTCCAAAATGCCAAAACAAACATGCTGCCATGGAGTCGCTTCAGACTCACCACCAGCCACCCTGCTTAGGGCTCCTCATGCTGTAAATGTTTATAGGAGCGCACAGCCTCATCTGTCTCCCAGAGCAGCTGCTGGATTCGAGCCAACCATCTTGCAGTTAACAGCCCCACACCTAACTCACAGTGTCACCAGGGCATTGGTGGTGGTGGTGGTGATATGCTATGGAGTCGGTTCTGACTCAGAGCAACCCTGTCTGTATAGGGCTTCCGAGGCTGTAAATATTTATGGGAGCAGAAAGGCTCATCTTTCTCCCGCTGGTAGTTTCAAACTGCTGACCTTGTGGTTAGCAGCCCAACTCATAACACACTACACAACCAGGATGCCTTAATTAGGGAATTGGTGGTGGTTAGGTGCCGTGGAGTTGGTTCCAACTCAGTGATCCTGTAACAAAATTTCCGAGGCTGTAAATCTTTTCGGGAGCAGAAGGCCTCATATCTTTCTCCCATGGAATAGCTGGTAGTTTCGAACTGCTGACTCTAAGGTTAGCAGCCCAATATGTAACCTCTATGCTACCAGAGGAACGCAGTAAGTTCCCTGTCCCAAGCCAAGTGTTCACAACCTAGAGTGTAAACTAAGAATTTCCCTAACAACTACTGAGTGCTGTAAGGCTGAGAGGAGTGATTACCCTGTTGGGTGGGGTGGGGGTGGGGGGAGAGATTCACTGACAGAATGCTGAAGTGAGAGCTCAGATGAGTTTATATTTTCCAGGAAGCTGAGGGAAAACAAGGCACTACAGCAGCAGAATGGCATACAGGGGAGGAAGAGAATGAAGGAGCCCAGTACGTCTGGGACTAACACAGAGGGACTGTGTGCGACCAACAGGATGTACTCAGAGCACAGCTAAGGAAGTGTGAGGGCCAAGTGCAGCTGCAGGTACGGTGGGGAGGGGCCTGATATGCCATAGTAAGGCGTCGGAAGAGGCCTCCACAGGATGATGACATGCTAAGCTCTGTCATACTCATTAGACACACAGTGAATTCAGGGAAGAAAGTGACCAACAAGTACAGAAATAACCAGAGAGACACCTTCATGGTGGAAGAAGAAGCATTTGAACTGAGCAAAAAAGGCCATACTGGTGCAAATTAGACAAATTCCAAGCGCCCTCTGGAAGCCACGGGCTGGAGAAGAGGGGAAATTGAGGTTGACTAGTAAGTCACACAAGTAAGCACTGCTTTGGTATAAATTCCAATGGAAGTTTTATGTTTGTTGTTCTTGGTGGTTTGTTTTTGTTTTTTCCCCCAGAAAGAATTCAGTCTAGCAGCAACATGCAAAATGATGAAAAGGGACAAAATAAGGATGTTGTTGTTGTTAGTGCCATCGAGTCGATTCTGACCCATAGCGACCCTGTACAGGGTTTCCAAGGAGCAACTGGTGAGCTTGAACCGCCAACCTTGCAGTTCAAATGGCTTTGCAGTCTGACGCATTAGCCCACAGCGTCACACCAGGACTCCCAAAATACGGATAGTAAGGTTAAATTATTAACCTGGGACAGAAGTACGTAGGTCTTTGCCAGAGAAAATGGTAAGAAGTGCCACAAGCACACGTGGTTCCTAATTCCAGTTGTGATGACGTCACATATGACTTTGGGCAACATGTGCTGAGCACCTAAAATAAGCCAGGCACAGACTCCTGGTATGGCGCTGTAGGATTAGCACTGGACTGCGAATCACAAGGTCGGCAGTTCAAACCCACCACCCGCTCCTCAGAACCCCTACACAGGGTTGCTATGAGTCAGAACCAACTTGACAACACTTAACAACATCCTAGGGGAGTAGCCGAGGTAAGTATGAGACTATCCCACCCTCAGGGAAATACATGAAGATAACGTCAATATACAGCATTAAATGGGCTCACAGAATTAAGTGCAGGTACTAGAGGAGCCTCTCCTTACAGTATTGTTACAACCCTTCTGCCTCCTCCAATCTCAGGTTCCTCCGCTATAAAACGAAGACAAGAATCAGTGTCTTCTAACACTGCTGCCGCCGCAACTCAAGGTAGCCCTGGATAGAATTTCCGAGGGTACAAGGCTTCACAGGACCAGAAAGCCTCATCTTTCTCCTGTGGAGTGACTGGTAGATTCAAACTCCTGACCATGTGGTTAGCAGTCTAACCCGTAATCCACTACGCTACCAGGGTTCCTTTACTAACACGGCTAGGAAGACTAGAATTCTCCAGATGCAAGCATGGGATGCAAGTCAAGTGTCCAAAGAAGGACGGGAGGAAGATTCAGAGGCAGGAACCACATCCTTTCAGCAAAGTCGTCAATCCCAGGAAAACAAGAGGGTCTGTCATACAGCTTACCTCTGGTGTAGCTTCAGGAACCTTACAGACTGTTTCCATGCCTCCTAGCTTCCAATGCCCATCTTCGCTCACAAACACAGATGACAGGCAGACATTGTTGTGTGTTAGGTTTCCCTGAGACAAAAGGACAGGAAGAAAACTGCCACTCTCATTTCTGAAGTAGAAGTTTTAAAATAACAAATACCACAAAAAAGGACTATGACTAGCCTTCCCACTTGTGGCACAATAAATACAACTATGATTTTAAGGAATGACAAACTGCATGAGGCTGCTTAATCATTATGAAGTTAGGAAAAATGTAGTGGAAAGGTTTGTGCTCATTATTTCCCCCGACCTGGTGAGGCAGGTGAATAAAGACATTAAACCACCACACAGCTACAGTCACATCCCTGTTTCTAAAGGGATCAGGAGACACAAATGCCCTTAAACATAAATTTACAAGTCTTCATTGCCTATATAGTTTGCTGTCAAATGCCCTTAAAGGAAAAATTTATCTATACTCCCATAAGTGATTTTATTAATTTTCTCCTCTAAATGCTTTCTTCTCACCTACATTCTATCACGAACCCAGATCCTCTCCACCTGAAATCTTGTCAGTAGACATAAAAAAATTCTACCTGAAGAGGAAAATGGAATGATAAGGACCACCAGAAACATCCCACAGACCCCAGAAGAGCGTACTGAAATCATATAGTAATCAGATAAGTAAAGGGAAGGAGGACATTTTGAAAACAATGTTCAAGTATGTTTTTTTCCAAATCAGAAATCATTCCAGTAAACAAAGAAACACTTCAACATTCTACTCACTAGACCAAATATGTATATTATATATAAATTCATGTGTGTGCTTATACATATTGTTAATGTTAAGTGCTGTGGAGTCAGGTCTGAGTCATAGCAATGCTGTATAGGGTTTCCAAGACTATAAATAATCTTCTCAGGAGAGCAGAAAGCCTCATCTTTCTCCCGTGGAGTGCCTGGCGGGCTTGAACCACAGACACAAATTATGGCTCGCAGTCCAGAATTAGAACAGTATGCATGGTGTGTTTACATTTAATGAAAAACACAGGAGAAATAGATTTACAAACATTTGCTTTAGATGCACAAAGTACACCTCTGGAAGAACAAACTGGTGGCCAAGGTTAATTTCTGGACTCATGGGTAGAAAAGAGACTTAATTTTGCCTGTATGCACGTTTGTACTGTTCTAACATTTCATCACAGGCATGCACTTTCTCCAACAAAGAAAAGGCTCCTATTCAGGGAAGCATTAATAATTCTTGCTAGTAAAAGCACTCTTACACATACAGGCAGCCTCATTATTCATGGATGCCACACTGGTGAGCTCACCACTCACTGACGTTTATCTGTCACCCTGAAGCCAGTATTTGTGGCATTTTTGCAGACATTGTAGACATTCTGAGTTCTAGGATGAGCATGTTCCCAGCTGAGGGCAAATCAGGCTAATTTGATATTCACCATTTCAGGGCACACAGGGACCTCATTAAGCCTAACTACCTCAAATAACGAGAAATGACTGCATTTTTAAGAGACCACAAGACCAACCTGCTATTTGCCGAGTCTGTCTCCCATTACTAGAAACACAAACACACTGAGATGAGTCAAGGAAGGTTACGTTTTTCTAACCTATGAGTGGTGTTTTTAACCTTGGAGAACTGCCAACAAACCTTAATGATTCAGAATGCAAATATCATTAAGAAGTAGTAAATCAGAATACTGTCAGAAATAGACCAGAAGTAAACTTAGGCACTGTCGTTGTTGTTAGGTGCCGTGGAGTCGGTTCCGACTCATAGTGACCCTGTACAGGGTTTCCAAGGCTGTAAATCTTTATGGGAGCAGAAAGCCTCATCTTTCTCACACGGAACAGCCGGTAGTTTCCAACTGCTGATCTTAAGGTTCACAGCCCAATTCGTAACCACTACACTACCAGAGCTAATAGCACATATCACCAGAGAGCACAGCATATTAGCTACTCGGTGTCAGGGATTGTCTCTTAACTGGCTTCACCTATTTGAATGGGGGGAAGACCTCTATGTATGAGCTCTACCACTTCCTAAGAAATGGTCGTTTCTCACTGAAGATCTAAAACAGTACCGCTCTCCTATAAACTAATAGGAGCTTTGGTCAACAGCAGCACCGATGTTACACCTTTATCTAGGTGCTAATAACAAATGACAGCCGCAGCTAATTTTGGGTTGAGCCTTATCCATACTAAAGGTAGACTGAAATAAAGTTCTATAAATAAATGTCCAGGAATGGAGAACTAGTTGCCCTTTCTAAAAACCGTCTGCATGTAGTGCCTCTTGTGTTTTCCGATGTGCTGTTTTTCCTGAGGAAGTCTCCTAGGGACAGTAACTTACAGTGTCTACACCCAGCATAACTGACCAACACCAGCACTGTGGTCTCCATCGGAGCTGGGGGAGCAGATGGTGCGCGGGTTACTCACTCTGTCATGAAGGAAGGTAAGTGCCAGCAGTATGTCATAGATCCCTGCGCAGACCTCTGCCGAAGACAGCGATTCCAAGGCCACTGCCAGAGGCTGGACTCGCTCAGTAACAAGATGAATGCCATCTGCTTCCACAGTACAAGATAAAAATCTTAGCAAGCAAGGGTGGCGTAGTGTCTTCAAGTGCTTTAAAAATACAAATGGAAAAGTTGATACAATTAATGACTGAAGATTACATTAATTATAGTGTTACATGTACATCCCAGTAAAAGTCAGAAAATACTTCTATTCAAGATCCTCTCCCAGCCCCATACAGACGTGCTCTGCATTATTCAACTTCCCAACATTTAAGTACTCTACAGAGACTTCCAGTTCCATTACAACAGTGGTAAGCACCCCCATATGCACCCCGAGCCTAGGCCTTCCAGAGATTACAGCTATAAACTCAGAATAAAATATCAGAAATAATACTGAGGACTCTGAAAAGTAAACAAGAGCATGCAAATTATGGAGGAGAATCACAAGTTGGACAAGTGACATCCATGCGAGGTTCCTAATTTGGAGATTTTTTTCCTCCTCCTTCATGGCTATGCACTTAAGGAATAATACAAGACAGGTGAGCTACAACAGAAACATTGTCATCTTTCCAGCTAGACACATCACAGAAAGGAACCCATGCAAGATGGAGTATGAAGGGGATATCCCAGAAGGAAGGGAGCTGGACAAAGAGATGCTCTAATTCTGTCCAAAGCCACACAAATTTTCAGACTCACCTCTGAACCAAGTACACACAAAACAGACACACACCAGTGTAGCAAAGTTTTGACATTTGATTTACCATCCATAATAAGGGGGTGAGTGAGCATGTAGTTAAACCACCTAAGGCCTGAACCTAACAAGTTTGATGACCAGCAAAAATTTAAAACATTAATACTCTCGAGACAATTATACTAGAACCAAGAGTTGATACAACATGAAATTCAAAATATTCAGGTTGCAATCCAAAGTTACTCAACCTACAAAAACTAGAAAAATGGGCCAATGCTTTATGGAAACGGTAATCAACAAATGCCAACCATGAGATGACCCAGATTTTGGAATTCTCAGAGACAATTTAAAGCAGCTAGTATAAGGATGCCTGTCTCAGCTTTCTAGTACTGCTATAACAGAGATACCACAAGATGCTGGCTGTAACAAGCAGTAATTAGTCCAAATTCAGAGAACTGGCTCTAGACAGAGGCCCTTGTCTCTTTTCAGCATCCTTGGAGATCTCCATGTGTCTTGGCATAAAATTTCCCAATTCTCGGAGCTTAACAGTGTAGGGACCACAGGTCCAGAGGACCCAATCTACTCCCAGCACTTTCTTGGTGGCAGTAGGTCCTTCTGTGCCCTGCTTGTTTAATCGTTTCAGCTCAAAAGAGACTCGGGATACAATCTAATCCTGTACATGACAACTGGCCTTATTACATCAAAGAAGTGAGGATTTCCAATACAAGAGATAATTACAGCACATTAGGGCTGATCACATCCACTCACACCATGGGGCATGATTACATCAAATTAATCTCATCCTGGAGGTGATTTGTTGTCATTGTTGTTGCTGTGTGCTGTTGAGTTGGTTCTGACTCATAACAACCCTCTATAGGGTTTCCGAGGAGTGCTGATGAGTTTGAACCGCCAACCTTGAAATCCAGCTCATTAACCCTTGGGTTGATGGTGGAGTGTTTTGGATAATAGTGAAAATGGTGGCACAACATGAAAAAACTGTAATCAATGCCACCGAGTTGTAAATGTGGAAATTATGTGGGTAGAAATTTTGGTGTATATGTTTTCACCACAACTCTCAAATAAATGAGAGGGAAAACTTCATTCTATTTTGGAGAGCTTAGCTCGAGGTTTGAGGAGCTGGTGGAACATCCAGGTGGAAACATACAATAGGAAATGAAGGCCTGGAGCTCCAGAAAAAAAGATTTTGGCAAATGTTTAGTATGGATAGGAAGGGACTTGGCTGAGTATTTGCAAGCAATTAAAAGAAAGAGAACTCAAGTCTGAATGCTACAGAGGGGCGAGGTAATGGCCATTTCTGTCTGATGGCCCCATCACACCCAAAGGATGGAGAGATGGTTTGAAGTTTCCCTGAGTGCACAACACTTGAAACCTTGTAAAAACACCCAAATTTTGATTATGAGATGGAGAAAATCATTTCTAAAAAAGTTGAGAATGTAGCAAAGTAGATTTACAATAAAATAAGGTTGTAAATATATAGGGAAAGGGCTAAGAGGGAGAAGGAAAAAGAAAATGTCAGTATACGGAACTGTACAACTACTTGAAAAACTCTTTGAGCACAGAAAACATTTCTTGTTTTTTTGTTTTGTTTTTGGTACATACACATAATGCAGGTTTCTCAATTATGTTGACCAACACTCCTACCTAGCAGCCTGACTGTTTGTGAAGAAGTGTACAATGGTTCCCAGGACTCTTAGAAGAGCACACGTGTAACTGTAACCCTCTCCTAGAATCCTAGACCATAGTAAAGGACAAGAACCAAATGCTGATTTAAAACTTATCATTCCTAATAAATTACTGGTTAGAAAGGAGTCCTCATAACGAATAACCAAGTTACACTATTCATGGTAGCTGGTGAACTGAAGACAGTAGAGGTCAGCAGACCTGATCTATTTTTAATACTGCTTTGTGTTCAGAGCTACATATTAATACACCATGATGTTTAGTTTGTGTATTTTTAAATTTAGAACAGTAGATAAAAGAGTATAATTGCTACCGAATAATATTTGCCATGGAAAACACTACACAAGGGCTTCAAAAAATCGTTAGGAGCCATCGAATCAGTTCCGACTCATAGCAACCCTATACAGGATTTCAGTGCAGCAGCTGTGGGTTTGAACCACCAACCTTGCAGGTGACAGTCTAGTGCTTATCCTATAATGCCTTACACCAAGACTCAAAAATTAGTGAAAAAATATTTTTAATTCAGTTTTTCCAAGAACTTTTTGAAGCCCTACACAATTCCAGACATCACATTGTTGTTAAGTGCCACGAAACTGGTAGTGACCCACAGCGACCCTGTGTAGGGCTTCTGAGGAGTGTCTGGTGAGCCTGAACCACCTACTTTGAGGCTCAAACCAATTTTGCAGTCCAGCGCATTAACTCACAGTGCCACATGAGGACTCCACACATCCCATTAGGGGTGATTTAATTAAATGCTTGACCAAATATATAGCAGGCTAATTTTTGAGTTGATAATTTTGTATGGCCCCTTGAGTGATGTTATACATTTTGGGAGAAAAAAGGTTGCCCACCCCTGCTCTACATCCTTGTAAGTCTGTTTGAAATGATCATTAAAATGATCATAGGTATAATCAGGAACCGTGACTCCAGAGAAAAACAGGCAAGTGAGCTAGCTACAGCGGTTTTAGTATTTCAGACATGTAGAAAAGCAGGTTCCTAAAACCTGATGCATCAAATGCCGGACATCTTTCAAGTACTGTGAGCTAGTTCAGACACATTCTGATCATCTAAACTCCCATCACTTTGTTATCATTTCAAATTTCCCAGACATAAATGTCTGAGGCTTTCAAAGCCCCAGGATATCTTAAAGAGCATAGAGCTGAGTTTAAATTTCTTGAAAACATTCAGTCAAGGGTATCTAGAGACACTAATGGGGGGAGAGGGCATCTTCCCTCTTAAGGTCTGCAATTCCTACAGCACGGAGGCCCTCAAACACTCAAAGTAGATCTGTATTTTCTTTAAAAACTTTACAATCTGGGTTACTCAACTTTCTTGGTACATATACTGTAAAGAGCAATACAGTTTTTTGTTTTGTTTTGTTTTCAAATCTTATAGATTTGGAAAAGAAAAGCAAGGTAAGGTTGTAATTCTCTAGGAGCCCATTGGTAATAGTCACTATTTAAAAAAAAAAAAAAAAAGTGCTCTCTTATTTGATGCAAACAACAGGTAGCATGTGGGCACTAGCTGCACAGAAAGACAAGTGGTGAAGGAGGCAGGGTGTCTTTTGCAAAGTCATACTTAAAAGTACAGTCAAACCTGTGAAAACCAGAATCTGTATAAAATATACCTGTCAGAAATGGAAAAAAGCAATTAGTTTCCATTAAAATGAGCAATAGAAAAACAACAAATATGCACCCTATCCAATTGGAAAACGAGAGATCTGGAAAAGTCCAACTACATTTTTTAGCACAATGCATGACTGGAAAATTCATCCTGAAGGGGCCGTTTAAGATTTTTTTTTCAATGGAACCATCACATGACTCTTGAATTTCATGCCTGACCAAAAACACATCAAATAATGAATTGGTGTGACTTATGAAGTGTCAAAATTATTAGTGTAACCCTTATAATCCTTTAAAAAAGTGAAAAAATCATTTAAAGAAATCTATGAAAAAGATACCAATATTTCATACTTGTGGATAATATAAGGTGACTTGGTACTATTGCTTGTAATGCTGGCAAAATAAAGATAATAAATTCAGCCTCGTACTGGTGTGGTGCAGTGGGTTAAGTGTTGGGATGCAAACCACAAAAGTTGGCAGTTCAAACTCACCAAGGAGAGAGATGTGGCAGTCATCTTCCCTAAGATTTACAGTCTCACTATCAAAAATTTGGTGGGTGAAAGGGGGAACACCAGACTTACAAAGGCATGAAGTGGCTGGCTTGGCTTACAAGCTTTCATTGAGTGTGCTTAGTTGCACAGTAAGTGGGGGAAAGAGGAAAGACTTAGAGTGTAGAATGGTTAAGAAAACAAGATCCTTCAAGATCCTTCATTATGCTGTCTTATAAGAGACATATCAAAAAGACGGAGACAGCCTACATACCCATCAACAGAAGAATGGCTAAACAAACTTCGGTACATACAAAATACAATGGAATACTACAAAATGTTGAAAAATAATTAATCTGTGAAACATCTCACAACATGGTTGAATCTGGAGAACATCATGCTTAGTGAAATTGTCAGTCACAAGAGGACAAATATTTTATAAGACCAAAGCTGTAAAAAGGTTAAAAATTAAAAAAAAAGGGGGGGAAGTAAGGTACATTAATTTGGATGATAGGGCAAGCAATATACAACAAGAGGGAGGTTAGCAGAGGAAAGCTGAAGGTAGCACGAGACACAGGAGGGAGGAATGCAAGAGTTAACGTAATAG